AAAACAAACAAACCCTAATACTAATTCTAATGATGAAAATTATAATACTTTAGAGCTGCATGTTTTTAATGTAAAATCAATTTCATATTAAACAAAATCAAATTCATTCTCTTAAAAAATTCAAATAGAGTATTTCAATTTAGCATATTAAAAAGTTGAACTAGGGCCAGCCAGATGGCTCAGTGGACTAAAGCACCTGCTTAGACAGAGCGCAGTGTCAGGGGTTCAATCTCTCTAGGGTGCAGTGCCAGCCCCACCCCCAAGGCACGCTGAGACAATGATTGAGACTGGGTCTGTCAGTGCGTGCCTGTAATCCCAGCGCTTGGGAGGCTGAAAACAGAAGAATCACTATGATTCCGAACTGCATAGTGAGACCTTGTAAACTCTGTACCAAATACATTTAAAAAAAAAAAAAAGTTGAACTATGCCATTTACAATGATGCTCTTTTTTATAAACCACATCATGCACATATAATTTAAGAATTATCACCTTACTTTCACTTTGTTTCTCATAAAGACAAGGAACACTTGATAAAAATGATTAAACTCATGGTGAAAATGTTTGAACATCAAACTTTTAAAAAATGTCTAAGGCTTCTAGAAGACTACTAGAAGTAAATAGCTAGTGACATTAATACATTTTAATATTCCATCTCCTTTCTGAATTATTACCAGTATAAGTAATATCTCAACTATGGTTTAACTACATAAATAAGAAAAATATAGTTTTACAGATTTATCAAAGTTTTAATTAGCATAAACATTACTGTGGTATTGAAGATGTTACTAATTTTAACTACAAATGTTTATCATGCATTTGTAATCAATGGCTTATTCTAACCATTAAAAAACAATTCAATTAAACTTTCAGAATTTTTAATTATTACATGCTAAAATTAAAGACAAATTAATTTTAATAATTAACTGATGATTCAGATATAATATGGCAGTAAAATAGCAAACTAATAACACTTATTTCTATACAAGGATTTTAAAACCTGAGAAACAAATATAATTATATTTAAACTATAGAAATTAAAAAATCCTTTATGCATGAAAAATACAACAGCAAGTATAAGCAATTAATTGAATTAATGATGCAACATGCTACTATATTTCAAAAACATGTTAACAATGGGATTTATAATTACAAAAGAATGATAAAAAGGGAAAATAGTAAAAACCAATAAATAGCTAATATTTATTGCATAGCACATTTGATATTGTCCAAAGAAAGATGTTACAAATAAATCTTAATAGAGTACACTAATTCACTCATATTTGTAAGCTGCAAAGTGCTGAGAAAAAAAATAAGTGAAATGTTCTTACATAAGTCTTCTTTTCTAGTTTTAAGTAATTATTTTCCTAAGTAAGCACATCTAATGAGTTTTTCTGATACCCTTTGGTGACATCTACTGTATCTACTGAGGCATTTTTACTTAATGCTCTACTATATAAAAAAGTAAAAAAGCTGAATACTTGTGACATTGTCTACAATGCATCATGTTATTATATAAAATGTTCACAATAGGGCTGGGGAAATAGCTCAGTGGCATAAGCACCTGCCTGGCAGGCACAAGGTCCTGAGTTCAATCCCCAGTACCACAATAAAAAAAAAAAAAAAAACCACCTCACAATATTTCCTTAATGTATCAGGATTTTTCTTGTAAAAGATTTGCACAACGTATTTCTAAAATACAGTAAATCCCCAACCTGTGAACATTCAAGTTGTAAACTTCCACAGGTATGCTGTATAAGACTCACTCTGTTGGCTTATAAATGCATCCAACTTTTGAACAATTTTCCTAGAATGGAATTGCAGTCTGGGACTTCCAGAAGTACAATAAAACAGAAAACTTACTTTTTTGGTCATGATCAAGCACTTGTCTGATTTTTAGGTAACACACTTATTAAGAATTCCTCAAATTATAAAAAGAACCAAACCTACTTATCTTAAATATGTAGCAGGAAGTGTTCTCTATGTCCCAAATAATACAGAGTTGTATGATAAGTAATATTCTAGAAAGAAACTTTTTTAAAGTAAAAGCTCTCAAAACTTGATATTGATCATAAGTGACCAACTTAGTTAAAGACAGCTTACATCTCTTGTTTGTACTGGTAAATACTGTATAAACCTCAAGTTCAGAAAAAAATATATTTTATTCAAAAATATATATATATTATCCATTTTTTTCTGTGTCATTTACTTAGAAGTATTTTGGAAGCAAAAGGCAAGTAATTTAATAATTTTGTATTGAGAATACTTAGTCTTAAAACATTTAGTAAAATAATTATTTCTGTTAATTGAATTTATGACAAAACATTATAAAATTGTGTATCATTTGCAAAATAGTAAATTTATCTTCCTAAAATAAGTTATAACAAATTACTCAATGATATGATTAACAAGTGTAGTACTAGTAACAAATAATGTAATTCAGCTCTCTGTAAGGAAACTTCTCCAGTTATTTCAAACAAATTCCCTTAAGATACATGGATGTGACTATCTACTCTAGAGACTTATAATTCTCCTAAGAATACATAACAGGTTAAATCACACATTAGCTTTTTATAATCTCTGCTCTATATTCTAAAGGAACAATCTGAAATGAGACATTCAATGTTTTTCACTATTTATGGAAACACTACAGAATTCTATTTTTATTCAGACATTTAAACATTATCCCTAACAAATCTTTCTTATATTTAATAATGCCACTTATAAAGAACATAAGTATTCATACTATAAATGAGGCGAAACAGTGTATTAAAAATAAAGATATGGCAATCATTATTTAGTGATACCTCATCATTTCTATGAATTCCATAGTGAAAGAATTTAAGTTTATATAAGTACTGCATACTTATTTACCTAAAATCATGGTATTTAACATAAAGTCACATTCCACTTTTAGAGTCAAGGCCACTGTTAAGAATGACAACTATTTGCATCCTAATGGAGTAATACATTTATGTCCCAGGAACTACTAATATTCCTCACTATCTACTAATATATTTCTGCTTAATTAGTGAACAATTCATAATTCTCAACTATCTCTACACATGTTATTGCTTTTTATTGGTTTACTTTTATTTGCCTGATACATAGCCTAGGAAAAAGGGAAAGAGGAGAGCAGAGATATCCAAGCCTATTATCTCTGGATGAAAAAAGAACCACACATCATTTTAAGTACATAGGGTTTGGCTAATTTTTGCTTTTTCATAGCCTACAGATGAAAGACATAGAAATAAAAGTAGAGACCTTATGACAGCCAGTCTCCCAAATAGCTTTCCTTTTTCATAATTTACAGATATGTTCTAGGTGGCCAATGCCTAAAGTCTGCACGGCATGTGAGATGTAACTACTCAATAATAAATCAACCAGAAAATAAAATCTTTCTGAATTACAATCTCTTCAAAAACAAATAGTTATAAATTAACTCAATTCACAGGCTGATGATTTGAATCTAATAAAACTGGCATGTAATATGTTGGCTTTCCTTTGTAGAGCTTATATGAAATAAACAATATACACTGAGATTTGATGAAGTATCTAATAGTTTTAACTCTACAAATTCAAACAATGAAGACATCAGTTGAGTCAGCAATCATATATCTCAATAATATCACCTGATCTTATAATTTTTCTAGACATTAATAGTGATAACTGTCTATTCATTATTAAATAGTAGCCTGAAAATGTGATACAAATATTGTGTATCTTTATCTGAAAACCAATCTCCCACCACATTAGAAAAAGCACAAGAATCAATGGCCCCTCCCTATTACTTCCTATACCTTTCACAAACCAGATCATTACTGATCTAGAATTTTCTACTCCAACAAATTCTGGATTTAAGGTATTCATCAACCCTGAAGATCATGGAGCTGACAGGCAAAAGTCAAAAATTTCTATCTACCAATTCATTCATTCACTCATTCATTTATTCATTTATATTTAAGACAGGGTCTACAAGGTCTATAGGGTCTCACTATGTAGATCAGACTCTACTGACCCACCTGTGTTCAGTCTCCCAAGAGCTGGGATTGCAGGCGCATGCCACCACACCCAGTCTCAA